ACATCTTCCTTGGCTGCCACCATCGAGAGATGGTTATTTTTAAACGTACTGCCTAAACACGGCGTCTCAGAAATTTCCTCCATGCACGGCATTGATTTGAATTTAGTCACCTCAGCAGTATATGACTAAAATGATAAAACAGCTTTTTTTTTTTTTTCTATTCAGCTTTTCCTTTGTCAGAGGACTTCCGTTGCATCAGTGACCTCCTTGAGCCACATGTTAGGTACAGTTTATGTTAAACCAGCTTATTTCTGCTAAAAGTAGATCTTTGCTTCTCTGTGTCTATCCTTTCTTCCCCAGAAGACAAACTAATGAAACCCACCCACTCTGAGAAGGTCAGGCTCTCAGCACAGGATCAAGTGCTGTGCTGGGACAGTACCACCCTGTAATGATACCTAAACAGGGCGGTTATAAAAGTCACAGAGCATTTCCATCGTTTTCCTGCAACACCAAAGTTCTTCCAAGGAAAATACTGATCTGGCCACAGAGGATAAAATTAGCAACCCACTCACTTTACCCCTCTCCCCATGGCTGTAAACCTCAACACAGGCTGCAATTCTTCAATTATTGTAACTATAAATAGTAAACAATGGAGAAAAAGAAAACAATAAACGAAAACTGAAAAAACCCTGCCTTTCTTATTTAAGTTCTTTTCCACAAGTTGGTTCTCAAAGGTTTCTTCCTTTTGCTGAAAAACAGTACCGTTAAAGTTGCCGGGAGAACACAAAACACAGGTATATTCCTCCCTCTAGGTAAGTGCCTAACACTAACAAAGATTGTGAACATAAGAAATGATCATATGGCACTTTGACTTATGGCTCAATGTTGCTGCTTCTACAAACGGGTCCTCGCCTCCAAGTAGGGTGACAAAGACCACCGTCTGAAGTTCTAGGAAGACAAACCCTAGAACGTGTATAAACAACTAGATATTCTCATCCCTGTTCATTCTTGTTTTCATGATTTAAGACGTATGTACTGTATTCGTGTGGTAGTAAATGTCTGTTACTCTCTAGTTGCATTTGTCCTGGAAATTAATTCAAGGGCTAAAGAGTCAGGGGAGTGACAACGGATTAAGCAGCCTCCAGGATTGGATTCTGAGGTTCAGGTTCAGAGCATCTACAAGGTGGAGCACCAGGCCGGTACGAACAACCGCCACCTCCACTGGGTTATCTCACAGGCATGACAGGCACGTCGTGTGCGAGGTGCCTGGAACAGAGCTCATCCGCTCCTTCTCCACCCTGGCCTCGTCCAGGTCCCCCATCTCACTGGATGGCATCACTGTGACAGCCAAGAAAGAGTCTGGGGTCATCTCACTCACCCCTCTCCTCGCTCACCCAACTCACTGGGAAGTGGTGTCAGCTCTATCCACTGCCCCCTCTAGAGGGCGCCACTGCTCCTCTCCTAACGGCCGCTTCTGCCCAGGCCTCCTGCGTTCACACGACTGACTTCCGCCCTCCCTCCAGAGTCCATTCTGCACACGAAAGCAGCGTAGCCATTTCCCACTGAACTTTGCAAATACTCTGAAACAGTTCACGAACACCAAAAATAGAAATATATACACTACACACCATAATTAAAGGAATATTCATGCACCCACCACCTAAGAAAACATGACCATCATCTTTTTTCTTTTCACGCAAATGGAGTTCACCCACGTAAACACCAGCCGCTCAGGCACACAGGTATTCTGGATCCGCTCGGGATCCATGCTGTTGCCCCTGCACTCTCCTGCCTTTTTCTGCCTTTCAACTTCTCTTACAAGACCTCCTCCGAGAGCCAGGAGTTCCCTTTGCGAGCACCTACACTTGGAATGGCATGTTCACGTCCGACTGTCACAAGTCTAAACGCTCCACGTGGGCACAGACCGTATCTTGGCTGCTGCTGGTTGCAGCAATGGGACCCACACAAGAGCTGGCCCCAGGGCACGGCTGTTAGGTGACAAAGGAAGGGGGACTGCCTGAACACTGGATGAAGGCTGGGGAGGAAAACCTTTTATTTCCCAGGGGGCACAGTCACAGCAGGTCAAAATCATTCCTGCCCATCAGTGAAGCCCACCTTTAACGAACTCCAACCAATGGGGCTTATGTCTCACCTAGGAGTGCCTGATTTAATTGCTTCAGCCTAAGGTATGCTCCATGAACATACCAATCTTCAACCAGTGAGCTTTTCTGTATTAATTTCCACTCATTTAGCTACGGCGCATTTACAACTGCCCTTAGGAGTAGTATTTTAAAAGCTCACATCTTTACTCTGACCTCGCTCAACCAAGAATCTGTCCTAGGGACCAAAAATTAAGCGCTCAATAAATTACCCATTGCTACCGTAGAGCTCAAAAACTTCTATTGAAAACAGGCTTGCATTTAATATACGCACTTGAAATAAATGTTCTATACTTGTGCATGTGAATGTAAAATATTAAATTCACAAGTACTCTCTGCCATGAATCAGTTTTGAGCCAAGTCACTTAACCATGTATATTTACAGCTTAAATAAGTACCTTAAGAAACTAAAATAGAAAATGTTTATTATATCACAAATTAACTAGACACAAACTTTTATTCTGAAAAGTCAGGAAAAACTATTCTTCATGTACAACATGAAGTTATTTCTATCTAATGCACAGGCTACTCTATATAAATAGACTGTATTTATTAGGTCCACAGTCCTGCCTGGGTTTTTTGTTTGTTTGTTTTGCCGTACGCAGGCCTCTCACTGCTGTGGCCTCTCCCGTTGCGGAGCACAGGCTCTGGACGCACAGGCTCAGCAGCCATGGCTCACGGGCCCAGCCACTCCGCGGCATGTGGGATCTTCCCGGACCGGGACACGAACCCGTGTCCCCTGCATCGGCAGGCGGACTCTCAACCACTGCGCCACCAGGGAAGCCCCTACCTGGGTTTTAAATTCAGGTTCTGCAGTTCCTGGCAATGACTCCTGGAAAACACTCTACATTTAGTTTCCTCACCTGTGAAAAGAGAGGAACGCTGCCTATTTAACAGGATTGTCTGAAGATCAAACAAATAAGATGTGGAAGCACCAGCCACAGTCTGCCTTCAGTAAGGGTTTAAAAACAATTAACAGGAATGTTATAGCATTACAGCATACACAAGTTATAAAATCCTATCAAGATCGTAAGTTATAAAGTAAAACACAAACCCCAGAGTGTCTATCCTTTTGTTTCTATTAAGGCAATTCTCGTAAAGTATTGGAGCAAACCCTAGGATAAACCTGCACCTCCAGCAGCAATGCAAATATCTGGTTTCGAAGGGAAAGAGCAAAGTGTTGACAAGAGCTGCACATTGTTTGGTTGTAAAATATATCCCTGGCTCACATGTTAACCACCTCAGTCTTCAGGATTTCTTTTTTAGCTTCTGAAAGTTTTGGTCACGTTCTTTTCGTTTTCTAAGCTACAGCGTTGAGAGCCGTTCCTCTCCTCCCTCGCCTTGCCCTTCTGTCGCTCCGACCCCTCCTGCCCACAGCACTGGGCACCACGCACAGAGCTGTGTGCCAAGGTTTGGCACCGTGACGTCCACTGCCTGACCCCACCCGACAGCCTCAGCTCTTCCCAAGCTCCTGCTCACCTGCAGAAAGTGCGCTAAACCCATCCTACTCACCGCCCTCTCGGGAGCGGGCTCGGTGAAGGGCATGACAAGCGTGTCTCCAATATGTCTCCTTTCAGGTGCAATGGGGAAAAGGGTGGGACAACAACTCCTGTCAGTCACTTCCGTCGACCTCAGCACAAGTATTTTGTCCATTTTTCAATATATTTTCTTGACAATTAGGCATCAGGATAAGACTTAATTTAACATTTATAAATATTTAAGAAAAAAAGGAATCAATTTGGAAAACTTTATCAAGTTATAAAAACAAAGGTTTGTTTTTTTGACAGTGGACGTACAGTATTACATGGTTTGCCGTTATTTTCTCTCTGGGGGAAAAAAGGGAAAATGAGAAATACAGTATAGAAGTCATTAAAAGCTCAGTAGATTTTTTAAACACTTAAGAGACATGAGTTAGAAGTGCCATCAAACGAACCAACTGAAAAGCCATTTTTGCAACAATAAGAGAAGTTTGAATATGGACCCTATATTAAGTGATATGAAGTTACTGTTTATTTGTTAAGTGTAGTAAAGTAACTGTGGTTGTGGTTTTTTTTTAAAGGCCTTTTCTGTTAGAGATATAAACTGAAGTATTGTAAGTGAAATGATTCATGTAGGATATGCTTTAAAATATCTCAGCTTAAAAGAAATTGTATGTGTGTGTTGTGGTGGGGGCAGGGTAGATAGATAATAAATATGAAAACAGACCAGAGCATTCTAATGGTGCTGTTGATATATATAATAAACAAAATAGTGGACTTTCATGTCTATGCAAGTGGCAGCTGGTGTAACGCATCACACAGATTAAAAAACCAAAAAAAAGAAAGGTGTTTAGGTTATGCACTGCTAAGAACACCTGTGACGTCGGAGAGTGACTCTAGTGTGAACGTGGTAGGGGGTGGAAGGGTAACAGGCAGGCAGGAGTATGGGAGGAATACACCGGGAACACAAGACACCTACAACCCAGAGGAAGGGAGAAGGGAAAGCAGCAGAGGCGGGGCATTAGTCTACATTAGAACTGACACACTGTGGAAACAAAAGTAAGACAACCTTTGAATGACAGCTCTTTCTGAGCCACATGTGAGGTCACACACATTCCCCTCACTTTTGGTTCTGAGCTGCAGCAGGACACCACCAGAAACTCTTGATGGAATTAAATCCTCACTATTCAAAATGCTCAAATCCAATGTAGTTCTAATCCATAAAAATAAAACATTCTTTATGATGAATGCATCTTTATGCATTCAAAAACAACAATCTAGACGTTTTTCATGTAGGATTTAAATAGGAGTATAAGTGAATTACACTGTTCAGATACAAATGCAACTAAAGTTGCATGAGCTGCTTTGAAAACTCACGGACATTTATATGTATTATTTTGTGATATTCCATCCACATAAAAAAGGCATTCTATTTCTTTATTTTTTTATTTGACAAGCAGCAATATCATGTTTGTCATTTTAATGTAGATACAATTATTAGGTTATCTGTCATATTACAATATTTAAGTTTTTTATCTTATGTCCTTTAAGATACATTAAAAAAAAAAAAAAAAAAACATCAACTGCAAACGTGAAGGGGAGAAAAAGCATGGTACCCAGCCAAATTTCCACATTTCAGCAATACTTCACTCATTCTTTTTTAATAAAGTTTTAAGAAATGTCATAATGACATGAGCTTGAAATATCTCTAGGCATTTTCTCTGACGCTCATGACGTGGCACTGGTGATGTTGTAAACAGCAGAGAAACAGGGGCTGCCAAATGGCCAAATTATGGAGGCACAGGCCTGCTTTCTCCCACAGGACACACCGGATGGCGATGGCAATGACCTTCTCACATCCACACCGGGGGAGCGCGCGTCACGCTACGTAGCTGTACTCATCTGCTGACGCCTGGCTGCGTTCGATGTACTGTTTGTCTATGAGAACTTCAATGCACTTCTTAATCATGCTGATACTAGGGTTAAACCGAGCTCTTGACTGGCTAATCACCTGTGGGAGAGACACGGATGTTTAAGCTCTTCTCACCGGGGGAGGCACTGGAGCAAATAACTTTTTAGGCAAGCTAAGGAAAAAGCCCGACCTTTATGTTGTGAAGGAATAAAAACTGTGAAGAACATGGATACAGCAAAATCTAATAGTCATATATAACTAAATTAAACCATAAACTAATTCATCTATCTAACTACTCATATACACCCCTCAAGCTTCCACTCAACCCATACTCAACTTTCAGCTCTTAGCTGAAGTAACACCTGCTCGGGAAAGCTTTCCACCACACCCCCAAGTCAAGACCTTTATACACATTCTCATGCTACTGTATACCTTTTCTTTGTTGCATGTGAGTGTAATTTTATATTTACTCCCATATTATTTCAATAACGCGTTTCTTCCCTACTAGACTGAACTCCAAAACAGCAGGAGCCACATCCTGAGCTGCTCTGCACCCCATGGTGACCAGCACGGTGCTCCACACATGGTAGATGCTCGTGTATTCATGGAACGAGTGAGTGTGTGATGTGGTCCACGTCCTTCAATAACTGGACACAAGACTGAATCGGTAAGACTTAGACCTCTAAATTCAAACATGAGTTTAATACTGAAATTTTAAGTGAGTACTGTTCTCATTAAGTAATGAAGCATTTCTTTATGTTATTTGGGAGTCGTATTATTTCTGTAACATCTTCACAAAGAAACATTCCTAATCCTAATACCCTCTGTCCCAAGAGGTCTTGAGGACTTTTCCCCCTTTTACCTCCTGAATAAGGGCATTATGTCGAAGTACTTTTCGTGCTTTCATGATACGAACTATAGCAGCTTGGAGGTACATTTTCCGATCTTCATCTACAGCACTTCTCGTCTGCTCCATTTCCTGTTTTACAGGGACAAAAAAAGCCAATGAGACATTAATTCACTGCACTTGTTTTTAACTCATTTTATTTGTGAGTTTAAATAAATCTCCAATCAATACTGAGAATCAAATTATACAATTATGTGCCCAATATAACATAGCCATTACCAAAAGAGTATTTACAGTGAGTTATGTATAATTTCTTAACTTAAAGTTGGAAGGTTATTTTTAAAAAAATGAACACTACTGTAAATTGTACTCAGTGTAAGTAGTCAATAAAGGAGAACTTAAGTGACACAGAGTAATAGTTTTCAAGACTGCTGTCCTATCAACGAGTAAAAATTTATACCACAAAGCTTGTAGACTTTAGTAACTGGCTCCAAGTGCACACTGGAGCAGGCTTCAAGGGCAAGAGCTGTGAAGGGCTCCATTTGACTCCAGCAGAGAAGCCAGCAAGGATGGGCCAGAAGGGCCTCTCTGCATGGAGCTCAAGGAAAGACAGTGGAGGAGAGGCACAAGCAGGCAATGCCACATCAGTAGGGATCTCATAACAGCTTTTAAAAGAGAAAATACAATCCATATTACAAATTAGTATCGTTACCCTACAGGAAAATGAGATCTTGAACATTTTAGGGTTCAAATTTAACAGCAATTAACATTTGTCTCCCATGGGGGAGTAAGTCCCTGGAGCGGCCTGGCATCTCTGATACCTTCACATCCTGCCCCGAGCCCAAGGTCAGGGTGGCACATAGGAGGCAATCAGGAAACTTCAGTGATATGAATAGGCTGCCCCAGAACAACTGCTGCTGAGGTGAAACAAGCAACAGCAGATGTTCACCGTGCAAACGGCTCACCCGGGGTCGGACCCCACTCCAGACCAACAAGCTCACAATTTGAATTTTAACACCATCCCCCGTGGTTCATTTGCACAGGAAAGTTTGAGAAGCATTTTCTACAACTTTTCTTTGAAAAATGTGTTGTAAAACCTTCTGATATTTTACAAATGAAAAATATGAGATTATATTACTATTTAAGGTAGAAATTTTTGGAAAGAATACAAAGCAAATCCATATATGTTAATATAGTTTAAGAGCAAATATGACTATGTTCATTGTGGCATTATTTACAATAGCAAAGATATGGAAGCAACCTAAGGCCCATCAATAGATGAATGGATAAAGAAGACATGATATATATACACAATGGTATATTACTCAGCCATAAAAAAAGAATGAAATCTTGCCATTTGCGACAACATAGATGGGCCTAGAGGGTATTATGCTAAGTGAAATAAGTCACACAAAGACATATGCTGTATGATTTCACATATACGTGAAATCTAAAAAACAAAACAAATGAACGAACACAGCAAAACACAAACAGAATTACAGATACAGAGAATAAACAGGTGGTTGCCAGAAGGAAGGGAGATGAGGGGAAGAGAAAAATAGGTGAGGGAAATTAAGAGTTATAAACTTCCAGTGGCAAAATAAATGAGTCATGGGTATAGAATGTACAGTGTGGAGTAATTTATGTAATATCTTTGTATGGTGACACATTGTAACTAGACCGGTCATGGGGATCATTTTGAAATGTACAGAAATATTGAATCACTATGTTGTGTAACAGGAACTAACACAGTGTCAATTATACTTCAAAAACAAACAAACTCACAGAAAAAGAGATCAGGTTTGTGGTTACCAGAGGCAGGGGGTGGGGGTGGGGAGAGAGGAAATTGGATGAAGGGGGTCAGAAGGTACAAACTCCCAATTATAAGATAAATGATGATTAGAGATGGAATGTAAACATGATAAATACAATTAACACTGCTCTGTGTTATCTATGAAAGCTGTTGAGAGGAAATCCTACAAGTTCTCATCACAATGAAAAGTTTTTTTCCTATTTATTTAACTTTGTATCTATATGAGATGATGGATGTTCACTAAACTTACTGTGATAATCATTTCATGATGTAGGTAAGTCAAATCATTATGCTGTACTGCTTAAACTTATACTGTGCTGTGTGACAATTATTAAAACTGGGAGAAAAAAACAAAAACAAAAGAGCAAATATGACTAAACTACGATAGCGTTTCCCTAAGATACTCATTATACTACTGTTTTTAGAATCTAAAATACTGTTTATAAAGTTAGTCAATGCAAAAAATAAACCAGAGAAGATGTATCATAATTTTGATATGAAAAGTTCTGCATTGGTCTCAATATTACCACTTGTGAAGTCCAATGCTTAAATATTTCCAAAAGAAACGACATTAGAAAGCATTTACCTGTGGTGTGTCTTTCTGCATTGATGTAGTAATTTTAAATTTTGTTCTTTTACTGCTAAAGTTCATATTTAATGAAAATGAAGATTCTGCATCAATGTCTTCCTACAATTAAAAATAATTCATTTACATTTATAAAAATAAAATCACTAAATAACAATTGTTGCAAATAATATGCCATGAAATTAAATAATGACCAAGGAAAAAAGACTCAACTCTCATAATCTTTTACATTATAAATATTATTTAAGAGAAAAATAATTGTCGTCTGTCAAGCAATGAAGGAAAAAACAATTCTTTCCTAATTTTATGCTTGATAGAATTTTAATCAGCTTAGATTTAGAATAAAGCTATTTTCTGGCCCAAATGTTTAATACATGACCACCAGATAAATGTGACGAGAGTCAAGCTCATTGGCTTAAACAGAATTTTAACATTTACATTTTTATGAAATAGCGAGGCTCGTAAGTTTTCCATCACATTTTGAAAAATCAAACAACCAAATTTTTTTTTTTTGGAATGCTGCAGTAACAAAATTCCAATTAAAATAACCTGACTAGAGAAGCCAACTGGTTCCAATGGCACACAAGCATCACTTCCTCACCACCCCGGTGTGATTCTGACATCAGCCCTCAACGCCCATTTTATTCACTCTGCCAAAAGCGAGTGGACTTTTCTCAAGTGGAAGTTGTTAAGCCAATTTTTAGCTCTTAAGCTCTATTGGGCTTAAGAAAGCCACGCATGTCATACAGTGGAATCTGTCAACCAGCAGGACCACGAAGCACTTGGCAGATGGCACTTTCTCAATAATAACCAAAGAAACTCTATTAAAGAATGCCAGATTCATAATTAAAATTTAATGTGCAAACAACCTATCAATATTTATTTTGTACATTTTTGGGCAGTAAAAATAACATGCTTTAGAAAAATACTTAACTTTTTAGGCACTTAAGCTTAAAAATTTAAACTTAAAATTTTAAACTTAAAAACTTTTACTTATAATTCACTGACTTAATTAAAACCTTAATATTAAGAACTTAATGTTTTGTTAAGTTTCTGAAGTCAGAAAAATTAATCGTTTCTCAAAATTAAGAAAAGCTTGATTTGAATTTCAGCATATATGCCATTTAGAGCTATTCAATTATAGGCTACAAAAGTCATCATTAGCAAAATGAACTCATGAGAGAAATAAGTCGTAGGCCATGAACCAAAATTAAAATGAAGCATCATTTACAAGACTTTTTTCTTATGGGCACAATAATCTGAAGCAGGAAATTTAACCCATATCTGTTGCTTTTTTAACCATTTAAATATCCAAGACATACTTTAAAAACAAAAACATGTTACTAGAAAAAAAAAGTTATAAAGAAAAAAAGGAATATACTATCAGCTTGCTAATTCTCAGGACAGATATTAAAAACATACGGGGGTTGGACTTCCCTGGTGGCACAGTGGTTAAGAATCCACCTGCCAATGCAGGAGACACGGGTTCGAGCCCTGGTCCGGGAAGATCCCACATGCCGCGGAGCAACTAAGCCCATGCACCACAACTACTGAGCCTGTGCCCTAGAGCCCGTGAGCCACAACTACTGAGCCCGTGTGCCACAACTATTGAAGCCCACGCACCTAGAGCCCGTGCTCCGCAACAAGAGAAGCCACCGCAATGAGAAGCCCCCGCACCTCAATGAAGAGTAGCCCCTGCTCACCACAACTAGAGAAAGCCCACATGCAGCAATGAAGACCCAATGCAGCCAAAAATAGACAAATTAATTAAAAAATATATATATATATATGGGGGTTAGTTGAGTCTTGAAATTCAGGGACATGAGAGTGACAGCACCTGAGATGGAGTTACACATATTAAATATGTGTATAAATAGACATCAACAGGCTGTCATTTCCTATCACAGAACCATGTAATTAAATATTAACTAAACATATGGGGGAAAAAAACCAGCAAGATTTAGGACAGACTACAGTTTTAAAACCTCAATTAACCAGAATCCTTCTGCTGTCAACTCTTTAATAATTTTTCAGTAAACTGTCACAGTATAGGACAAATAAAATCAACCCATAAAGGGCACACGAGTACCAACTTAGACAGCCTTCTCTGTGACGCCTCAAGTTCTTGGCCATAAGGAGCCTGAAGTAATGTAGCTGATTCGAGTGCTTCTCAAAGAACAAAGGGCATTAACAATTATAACCTTACTTTTAAAACTGCAAACATCCCATGAAAAAGCTTTAATACTTATAATGCTTAAATTCCTTGAACTATTACCCCATACCTTTTCTGAATCATGGTTAATCATTTTCACATCGAGTAATGATTTGATTGTTTTTGTCAGTTCCTTCTCGTTCATCTGAGTGCTGTCTTGAAGTTCTTTATAGCTGACGGTTTCACTGTTGTTAAAGGCAAGAAGAACCGCCATTTGGTAGGTTGTGACCATAGCTACGTATGGTTTGCCCAAATAGTTCATTTTAACTTCACCTACAATTAAAACAAAATTGTGACAATAAACTCATCATTCAAAGAAGCATTCCAAAATTACCTCAGTAATAATTGTTTATTTCAGATATTTTCTCCTGAAAGAGTGAACCAAGAACTCTTGGTTAAATTGTTGCAAAGCTATTCCTGCCAGCAATGTAATCATCTGTTTGCGGGGGTGGGGGGGATGGAGGGGACGGCTCTTAGTTTTGAGTATGTAGTATAAATCATGGTTAAGCTATCATAACATTACCAGTAAGCTCAAACAATGTCTTTAAATAGTAATAGGAAGGCTAAGACTCGGGCAGAAAAAAAGTAAGAGGAGGTGGAGGTAGGAGGAGAAACAGACAGACAAAGGGAGAGCATGATAGCCTGCTACCAGCAACTGCCTCCTATGTGTGTATCTCATCTACCCCAGGGAAGGTTCAAGCATACAGGAGGACACCTGTACTAAAGTGTCTAAACCATAATTTCTGCCAAAATATAACAATGCTATTTTGTTTCATAAATAATGTTTTTCTCCCCAGTAATTTTCTAGGAACAAACACAAATGGGAAGAGAGACAAACAGGCAGATGCATTATTTTGTTGAAATAGTTGATGGAATAACAATGTTCTGGACCCTACACTACCCTGAGAGCTAGAAAGGTACATCAGGTTTAGGCCAACTACAGTTCTACCCATTCCAGGGGGCAGCACACTGAAGAGTTTGTTAACAAACAGTGTGTAAAACAGTTATGCACTTGCAACATGTAAAAACAGTTAATGCAAGTCAAAGAACTGCTTCCTAAAGAATAAAGTTATGGTTTAGTGATTGTATTTCTCTTTCTCTCTCTTACACAAGCACACACACACACATCCTGCATTATTTGACTGTTAATGAATTATAAACTATATCAGCATGAGATTTGGTTTTAGGGCTCTATATTTTAACTCAAGGAAGCTGTATGTTACATGAACTTACCCCAGAGGCTGCATTCTCCCTGTTAGTAGTGGTAATTAGTAACTCTGATCAAGATTGTGTGCTTCCTTTATTATTTAATAATATATATTAATTCATTATGTAATTAAAGACTTTAAAGGATATAAGTCAATTCTCCAGCTTACTATGACCACACAGATGCCTATGCTAACTTGCCTATGCTAACTTATTTTTTTAAAAACTGATATTCAGAAATATTTTTCAAAATTATTTGGATAGGAACACCTAGAGAAAAAATTCCTAATCTCTGAATTTTCATGAAAGGAAGTTTAATTAATTGGAATATCCAATTCATGTAGAGTTTAAGTAGACTACAGTCATTAGGACCGTCCTGCTAACAATTAGCATAAAGAGCACTTTAAGAGCCTCATCTCAACATTAAAGCTTAGAAAACGCGGTGAGAGGCAAAAAAAAAAAAATCATGTAAACTGCATTACACCATTTGTGCAATGACTGTTTAATTATCTCCCAGAAACAAGTATAAAATAATGCCTCAAGCACCTATATGATTAAGCTAGGACCATCACCTAGCTGTCACAGATGTTGCAATGTACTACCATGGGTTTGGAAACAGAATGAGGCTTCTGCCACAAGAACCCAAAGAGCATTAGGAGACAATGCAAGTAAGGGGTCTAAGTATCATTTACTGATATCAAATCCACTCTGCATCCCTTAAAAACAGGAAAACTTGTTAGTTGTGTTTTATGACTTTTTCTTGCTATTTTTCAATAAATTATCGGTGTCGGGGTACATGGACCTCTTTCCACTTTTTTTCAGCACCACTCTCTTATTACTCAGCTCATGGCTGGAAAGACTGGGGAAGGGGTGGAGGAAGGAAAGGAAATCCCAAATCTGGATGATTCACTTAATTACTGCTGTGTAAATAGAAAAGGAAAATGACAAAGAGGTCATTTAACCTTCAGAATAGGTTGACAAACTTTAAGAACCTCCAAGCTAGAATAAAACATTCCAATACATACATACTTGAAAAATCAGACAACCATAATTGAATTGGTAATTAACAATTACCAGAAATAAAGAGTAGGCAGAACTCTCACAATACTTTAATCCAAGTTACTCCTCTACTACCTATCAGCAACCTAGTCTCTAAGGGAAAGTTTTTTTTACAGAAGAATGTCAGCTACTAAATGCTGAGTGCATGACAGAGTATCACTGATCTGCAACCAGGAAGAAGATAACTGATTCAAGCAATGATCACCAGTGGATGCTACAACCATCAGACACAGTTGTTCCTGGAAGATGGTATTTTTTTGGGACCTAAGTGTCACCCCTCAGATCACCTGCTAATTGAAAAGGTCTCCTCACAATGGAAACATCACCTCAATCAACCAAGTGACCACTTTACTGCCTCTCACAGTGGGACAGTCTGACACCACGTGCCTTCTGATGTAATGCAACACAAGTACACAGGACCACCAAAGAAGTATTCTCACCAATAATATCTTAATCTGAATATATAACTAGTTGCCAAACAGCAAAATAGTAAATCCCTCATTAAAACTACTTTAGGAGACAGAATGATTATTGCTGAGGTAATGCAAAGGAGTTTAAACTCCCCAAGATAGATATTTAGGGGAAGTAAAAGTAAACTTAATCCAAATACATTAAAACACTGGTCCAGCAATGTTTTTTTCCTTAAAATCAATTATATTTACTAAATGAGAATATAAAAAATTCACAATAGATGTAAAATTAAAGGCCAACTACTAAGCGACCACTTACTAAGAGTATCAATGAACATCTCTTTATTTCACAAACTACTGAAAAAATTAAAATGCCCAATTTGTTCAATAAACATAAACTTGTAAAGATATGTATTACTATGTACTAATTATTATGTACTAATATGTATTACTAACAAAATGAGACATCATATTCCAAATATAAAGTAGTCAAATAAATGGTACTTACAAGAAACTACTTAGATGAAATTTCTCTTAGGTGAGTGAATTTCCTAAATAAAGGTACGGCAACTAATCAGATTTTCTTGTACCATTTCTAAGAGACATTAACATACATGGCCATCCTTTCCCTCTTATACAAAGAGAAAGTTGATTCAATGTACTTTTCAAAGCATAGCTTTAGCAAAAGTAGAGAAATTCTGAGTGTTTGCTTTGGCTAACATCTTCAGGCAGCTTAGAGAAACTGAATAGAGGCTCCAATCACTCAAAGTATTAATCCTACTTTCCAATTAGTAGACCCCACTGTTCCAGGAAGAAGCTAAGGAAATGATTAGATTTTGATTAAACTTTTCTAAAACTGGAAAGTACTGGAAGTTAATTGGGACATTCTGGAAAAAGCGTTTACTACTGCCGTTCACTACAGTACCACAAATAAAAATCAAATGGTTAGGTCTCCTTGTGATGCTATAATAGTTAATGAAATTTTTGAGGATATCTGCCATATCTAGAGAGAAGAGGTTTTTAAGATATGTTTCATCAAGCCTGGGTTTCTAAATAAAATTCCTAGTATCTATAAAAAGTGATTTGTTACAGAAATATAGGAAACCATTATAAAATTCAGAAACTCCTTATAAGTAGCATAATTATAAAACACTATTAAAAATGCTGCACTTGCTTTAACCATATAAAAACGTGCTCAACTTTACTCATAATAAAAGGAATGCAAATTAAAAGAAAAAAAGTGCTTCACTTGAACTTCATTATTAGTTGCTTTAATGGTAACCAGAAAGGAAGATGAAGAAGAAAACGTTAAAAACTAAAATCAGGAAAAAAACAACAACTATAATTAGGACCTATGAAATCGATTTCCAAATTTTTAACATAATCATATCAGGTAAATTTCATTAAACTAGATATAATTAAATGCATTTTACCTGTACAAAGATAATGTAACCATGTAAGTTTCCTTCCACTGAAATGCTGGCTATAAAATAATTCAAACTGTAAAAAAGAAAAAAGGAATCAAATTATTTTCAGCTTCTACAACCTAACTTACTTGGCTATCACTACACTAAAAAGTAAAAAAATTCATGTTAGAGAAGACATTAGAGCCCATCTGGTATATTTACTCATTTTACAGATGAGAAAACACATCTATGCAAGTTCCTGACAAAGATCATATAAATATCAGGCCAGCTCTTTTCACTTAAAACCCTGTCTGGGGTTCTTTCTACCAAACCACAGCCCTGCAAATTTAACTTTTTGTATAAATTCAGAAATTATCATTTTGAATGATATCAATTTGGACTTTATAAATAAAATCCCTGACCAAAACCACTACCATACGCATTTCAACATGAAAATATAAATCAAACCTTCATTTCTAGTCTCCTATTTGCCAACATATACCCTTGCTGAATGGACGGGTTGAATAATATCAGTGATCACTCCAAAAGTGACATCCACGATTTAACTTCCACATACAGTCAAACACTAATACAAGCAAAGCTTCAGAGGCCTGTCTTTGTATCTTTTGTTGACATTATTGTGAAAAATTAAATTTAACATTCTATTAACATAGCTTTAAAATTTTAAAAATTCCTCCCTCAGATTGAATGTAGGACATCAGTCCAAAAAATAGAGAGTTCATATCTTCTAAAGAGCTAGTACATAATCTACAGCGAGAAAATGATACTGAAATGTAAAAAAGGTAAAAACTCAACTTCCATATAAAACTGAAAAATAAATATATTCATCACATCACAATTCAGAATTGTGGGCATACTTTTAGCATGACGAGCCATATGTAATATACCTAAAGCTTTTATCTGTACTTCAAACTTTACTTTCTGTACTTTCAAAATGAAGTTTAAATAAAGCAATCAGCAACATTTGACCTGTAAGCTGCACTATGCCCACTCCTTACAACAAAAGTTCACAGCTACCAGCCAGGAGAACTGGTAAATTCTTTTAGCAATTTATTCCAAGATAGTCCTGGGAAGCTGAAACTTGAGCATTTTTTCCCTCCAATGGTGCAGCATTCTCCTCTATGAGCAAATTCACCAGCCCTTTGGCATGATAAATAGGAAATGACTGGCACCAGGAATACTTATGATTTTCTGCCTGGTCCTAATCTAGACAAAGAAAAAAATCAAAGTATGTCATGAAAGGATCCCAGAGGTATGCTCTGACTAATAATCTCCCTGGGTGTCAATAAAATTCAATTACTACTATACAATTTGTAATTATGAAACATTTATAAGGAATTTATGGACAAAAGCAAAATAAAACATTTTTGAAACTGAGAAAACCAAAGTTTAAAATGCTCTTTACAAATTATGTAAGTGCAAAACTAGCTTTAGAATGTATATTCCAAGCTCTGAAAGCACATGCTTTACCTCTTTATAGCCCTAGCAACTAGTACCATCATTAAAGTTTTATTGATGATATCAATATGCCAAAGAAAGCATTCCTTTATCCTTAAATTTAAAATCTGATTATAAAGATTCTCATATCCACAGCTAGTCAAGAACAAAAAGATTCAGTTCCAAAAGAGAGTAGTATCAATTCATCTGGTATTAAAAGACAAAAGTTGTAACATCTTGCTTAACGATATCATTAAATAACTGTGTTATCAAAGTTTATTAGTAATAAATATACCTTGACTAAACTTCTCATGTTAAAGTCAGGCTTAATAGTTATAATAATCAGGCTAACAGAGAGCATCTTTCAAATACCATTTGAGGGCATTAATTGAAACTCAAGGGGCCTTAAAAATGAATGTTTCATATTTGATGAGCGCATTCACTTCAAACAGAGAGCTGCACTAATATACACTACCTTATATTTCTTTAGTTATTATTCAGGTTTGTGGACCAGGTACAAAAGTAGATTTAAGATATACTGGTCTAATATGCAAAATAAAGTACTTTTTTTTTTTTAAGATTTTCTGATGTGGACCATTTTTAAAGTCTTTATTGAATTTGTTACACTATTGCTTCTGTTTTATGTTCTGGTTTTTTTGCCCCAAGGCACGTGGGATCCTAGCTCCCCACCCAGGGATCGACCTGCGTCCCCACCTGCCCCGACTGGAAGGCAAAGTCTCAACCACTGGACCGCCAGGGAAGTCCCCAAAATAAATTGCTTTCAATTAAAGCTTAATTTCCGTAGTTTTAAGATACGTGTAAAATGGATGTGATTTCTGATAAACAGCTATATTTAAGGGAAAGATGGGAAATATCTAGACGACCATTAAAGCAAAGGGAATTAATTTACATGTGAAAAATAAAATAATAAATACACAGATGGATTTTCATTCTTATGTGGCTGAAAACTTGGATTTACTAGGAGAAATGTAAGGACAAACTCCCTCTACTGGTAATTAGAGAAAGTCCAAACTGAGAGAATGATATGCTTGGAATCATAATTTATAGTCAGAAAGAAACCCACTTCCTGTTTGTAAATGAGGACACTGGAACCTGGGGAAGGTCATATGTTAATAAATAAAGTTTAAGGGGTTGATTCCAGTACTCCAATAATTACTGGCAAATAATTATTTCAAGGAGAAAGGGAAGAATAACAAACTTAAACGAGATTTTAGTTCTGCCAGCCCCCACCCTGTCCTTTAATTTCGATTGGAAAAGCAGGTTCTTAAGAAGAAATAAGGTTTAAGACTGTCAAAGGTGAGGGGTCAGTTTTCTTTCTCTTGCCTGGTCACAAATACATCAAAGTGCTTTACACCTGGTTACCCCATCCCCTGCCCTGGGATCATATTCTGCCCATCCAAACAAATGCTCTTCTTCATGAAGTTTCTAAGATGGTTTGCACTATCATGCCTTTCCAAAGACGCAGAAAATCCTAAATTAGACTCCTATTTGGAAAGTCCACCTTATGCATGGTATCTTGAAATCTACCTGGCTACTCTGCTATTACCACTACTATCACTATTAACTATTACTTCTACTTTCAGCATTTATTGAGTACTTCTTATATACCAGACTAAGCGCTTTACATATTTCATCTTCATATTAACACTCTGAGTAGTAGTATTATCAGTTAACAAAAAATTCGGAAGTTATTTGAACAAAGTCACAGAGCACAGTAAACGGAAGAGCAGACATTTAAAATCAGGAGTTATGATTCTGGAGCTTACACTGTGTTACTTGATTTATAATCCTTATTTTGAAAGAAGCAAAAATAACATACATACATAATGTAATGATTCAAACTACACACTGTGAACATCTCCAGTAAATAGTGTAATGAAATACCATTTTCATTTTAAACTTCATAAACATATGCATAACTCACTGGTTCACAACCTCAAGTTACTGCCCAAGTAAAAGACTATTAAAAGATAAGCCTCCTTTGGTGAGTTAGAGAATCAAAAAGGGTCAGTTTCAAAAGAAACGAAAACATGTTCATCCACGCAAAAACTTGTACGTGAATGTCCATAGCAGCATTACTTACACACCCCAAAGTCAAAACAGCCCAAACGTCCAACAGCTGATGAATGGATAAATAAAATGTAGTGTCTCCATACAATGGAATATTATTTGGCAATAAAAAGGGATGAACCACTGGCACAGACTCAAACATGGATGGACCTTGACATTCTTCTGCAAAGTGAATGAAGGCAGTCACAAAAGCACGCGTGACATAGCTCTATATGAGATGTCCAGAACAGGCAAATCTACAGAGAAAGAAAGCAGATTGCCTAGGGCTAGGGAGAGGGGAGGGAGTTGGGGAAGGCGAGGAGTGACTACTGATACATAGGGGGTTTCTTTTAGGGTAATTAAAATGTTCTAAAATGGTGCTGGTGGTTGCAAAGCTCTGTGAATATACTGAAAACCAATGAAAGTGTACACTTTGAGTGAACTGTATAGTGCTGTGGCCTGAATGTTGTGTCTCCCCAAATTCATATTGAAATCCTGACGCCCAATGTGATGGTTTTAGAAGGTGGGGCCTTTGGGAGGTGCTTAGATCATGAGGATGGAGCCCTCATCTATGGCATTAGTGCTCTTATGAAAGAGACCCCACAGAGATTCCTAGCCCCTTCCACCATGTGAGGACACAGCAGGAAGTCTGTCACCTTAGGCCCTCATCCCACCGTGCTGGCACCCTGGCCTCAGACTTCCAGCCTCCAGAACCATAAGAAATCAATCTCTGTCATTCACAAGCCACCCAGGCTGTGGTATTTTGTTACGGCAGCCTGATACAATGACTACAAGACTACATGACTAAGCCGTATGGTACAAGTTACATCTCAACAGCTGTTAAAGATGTAGTCTCCACAGTCTCTTTAAAAGCTTTGGGTAAGAAGTCTATGGTTTCTATTCAGTCACACTTTAAAGCCATTTTTACTTGAATTTTCCAGCTTCAATCTATTTTTTCTAGAATATTTCACATTCTACATATATTTACCTAAATTACAGCCCAGAATAAAAATAACTATTATAAGGGATAAATGAATTATAAAGATGGCTCAATATTCAAATGAAAAATTAGAAAATGATTGTTGTAAGTACTGGATTCTAAACTTTCTTATAATATCAAAATCCTTGTAATTTAGAACTACTTAAGACAGATAACAGGTTTACTAAGAATAAGAGACATGCTTTGACAAAGAACTGACACCCTTAGCATTTTAGTTTTAATATTAGAAACTACAATAATTTACAGTCTTCCTCAGTACCCTCCTTTTTAGGGAGGGTACTGAGGAAGAATAACAATAACAAGGCAGAATAACAATAATTTGTGAATATATTTTTATATCACGTGAGCCCTCAAGACTTCGGAGAAATATTTAAAGTGATATAACGTGAAGATAATTATTAAAATTCCTTAGGTCTTCCAATATATTTTCTGCCAACTTGCCATCTGTACACTTTTTTCCAATTCCTGGGGAATCGCAAATGTAGATGAAGGAGCCTGAGTAAGAGGCCATGCACCAGCCTAGAAGGAGAAAAGTCAAATAGTTAAACATCTCACTTGAAAGTAAATGTTTATAAAATAATTTAAGCAACTAAAGCACCTTTTTCTCCTTCCTCAAAATGTTGATAAAACCCACCAGCATTACTATCAAGGCACGGTTCATTCCAGATCAATATAACATATAACTTTAGAAGCTATAATATTCTGGTTGAAAGAAAGGTAATCAGGCATCAATCTATTAATCATTTGTATCAGAGTATTTGAAATGGTTAGTAAATGCTCACAATGAAACACATATTCATACCTGTAGAACATATATTTGAAAACTAATTCCCAAATCTATTACTGTGTCTTGATTTTTGATAAAATTGTTGAACTTATTGTTCAGATCCGCACTGACACTCATATCTGTGTACATCCGATGTAGCTTGCTGGTAAATTCATAACCACAGGCTTGCTGTAAAAGAAAGTTTTAAAAAACATATGACTTAAAAACAAAAACAATAAACCATACTGATTATTAAGAATGCTTTGCTACTGCTAGGTCTATGGTCAAAGGTCCTGCTTGTACACTTACACCAAAGGCCTGTATTATTCATGACCCAAAGCAGCTATTCAAAACCTTTCAAAAGTTCCTTTTTTTTTTAATGCAGATTAAATAAGTGAATGAAAACATATATTCATGAAACAACAAATTTCCCTTTAAAACAAGAACTTTTCTATAAATCTGTATATCATTTCAACAGTACAAAATGCTCCATTACTAAATGTAAGATGATACCTTATAATGTTTACAGATAGTATCAAATACACATGAAAGATAACTGGGAATATTTGTTAAAAAGGAGGGGTACTGAGGCAGATTTTTAACACCATTAACTGAGTAATGAAGAAATCTATTTCTTTGAAGTTATTCAAAACTCTGCCATCACCAGGTCAGAAAATCTGGATCTCTAATCTTGGGATATAAAAAGCTTTGTTAACATTACCTCTAAAAATTAAAGGGTAAATTATTTTTGGTATATTTAAAAAGGACCACATATTCAATGTATACCATACAGGAAAATTATCAACTATTGAAAAACTCAGGATAAATAAAATTAGCAACTGCTTATCTTATCAGTGTGTAAGCTAAAATGACATAAAAGTGAACTGAAATTCAAATGCACTCCACAAAACTTGTACTTAAAGGAATATTTTAGGTGTGTTCATTTATACGTAATACAAGGTTTTTGTAAAGTTAACACGTTATCTTGTGGATGATTCTATATCAACATATAGAGAGACTTTGTCCTTTAATACAGCATTTGCATATCCCACCATGAGACTACACCACTTTACATTTAACCAGTCAACTGTTGATGAATTATTTCCTGTTATTACTCATATTGCTACAGTGAACATCTTTGTGTGCTAGTGGAATAATTTCTAGGACACTATCATATCAAAGGCCTACAGTACCTTTAATTTATTGATCATGGCTTCTTCAGAATCCATAGACATGGATAACCCATGAATTAAACGTTTCGCCAGCATTCTTGCGTAGAACTACATTAAAAAATATTTTAAAAGATTACTTCCTTTCTGATGATTTAAAGTTCAAAAATAAATCAAAGCTGACACATAAAACCTCTCGATTCACAACTTACCTTTTGAAAAACATCCTTATCGTCGATATATTTAAAGACAGTAATAAAGCTCGTGAGCTTGTCCTCTACTTCATTCTCTGTCATCCCCTTGGCTGATTTCTTCAGCAAGTTGTCACAGTACTTAGCGAGCTCAAATAGAAATTGACAGTAACGCTTTCAGAGGGCCCTTCTCAAAGGAGGCACAGTGGCAACAACACAAAATAAGATCACGGTCTTTGCCATCCTCAAGCTTATGTTTTAATAATCATGGACATGCACTAAAGAACTTGAAATATATGTCATCAGGGAAATTTTTAAAAAACTATAAACAGTAAAAAATCTAATCAACCCTGAATGATCAATACAGCAATGATATAAGTAATTAAGTTTTTTTTTTTTTTTTTTTTTTTTGCGGTACGTGGGCCTCTCACTGTTGTGGCCTCTCCTGTTGCGGAGCACAGGCTCCGGACGCGCAGGCTCAGCGGCCATGGCTCACAGGCCCAGCCACTCCGCGGCACGTGGGATCTTCCCGGACCGGGGCACGGACCCGTGTCCCCTGCATCGGCAGGCGGACTCTCAACCACTGCGCCACCAGGGAAGCCCAGTAATTAAGTTTTGATGGAACACCTAGGTGAGTTTTGAGCAGTTCTGTCATTTCTGACATTACATAAGTACTTTTTAAAAATCTCACAACAACCTTGTAAGCAAGTTTCCTTTAAAGGTTATCATTTTTCATCAAATTTCCTTTAGATCTCAGATAAAATAAAATCTCCATGTAAAGTAATGCAAATTATTTTAAAGCAGTCATACTTTCCAACCCAAACATTGTAAAATGGAATATTTTCTCCTTCAATTATTTCTTAAGAAAAGGCTACAGACGTGACCTACTGCATTCCTTAAATAAAAGCCAAATGATATACAGTGTTGATATGTTTTTATTTTTAATAATTAATTTCAACTACATTTTAAAAAAATGCTACAAAAACTAATTTGACATTCACCTCAGTTTTCATTTTCTAATGCTGACTTTTCATATGTTTACATTTATGCAACCATCAAACTTACCAATTCAGGTGCTTTGCAAACAGACTTGGGTTCTCTGTAATTTACAACTGATGTAAGGGCCTATATAGAAGACAGACCAGGAATTAGCCACCATTAATAGGGTAAAAACACAGCTGGCTCTATATATGCTATAATCTGTACGTCCAAAAATTACTACCCCACATAAAACATGGCATTTTGGGGGTAGTTTGTTAATACTGTTGTCATATCTAACACAGGGTAAACTCCTCTCACAGTGTCCCTCATGGTAATTATATAATGATTACATATAATCCTGTTCCTACTGAAAGATACTCTTCATAACTCATTACTGATATTTGAATACACATAAAATAAGACTATATTTTCAAAAATCTTACAACAACCATGTAGGCAAATTTAAATTTAAAAATTTGTAAAATATAATATTTACTTTTCTTTCAAATATTATTCATTATAGCCTAAGTATTATATTCAAAGGAAAAATGAGCACTAAAGAATATTGAAATTATACATGTATTTTTCAGAACATACTAGTGTATTAACAAGTCTCCTTTTATAGCATAATCACGGGAAGTTCAATTCCCATATAATTCAAGCATTCAATCATTCAACTACTCACTTAAAAGTTAAGTTACACACTTCTATTTTGACTTTCACTATGAAATTGGTTGGTTAAGGTGAATCTCCATCTCCAGATTAGAAATCTCACAATTAGAAGCCCTAATTCTGAAACTACCTTAAAGAATAATGATTAAATGAAGAAAATCATATATAGATAAGAATATATGTATTAAAAAATTACCTTATCCAACGCACTCATAAAGTGCTGATCACCATTCAAAACAGTGTTGATAAGCTGAACAAATTTACCATGTACTTCCAGAACTGACTCCACAAATAGTGTTGGCATCTAAAAATATGAAATACAAAGTACAAAACCACATTTTAAGAAGTTCAAGGGTATAATTTGGCTTAGTGAAGAGTTGTTTAAGAGTAAAGTTTTCCCTAAGCAAATAATGTTACACACGACACACACCCTCAAAAAATGTTTTTAGCTAAGACGGTCTTTAAAATCTAAAACTTTGATGTTGAAGTTAGCTGTCATTCAACACTGTAAATGCAGGACTGTAGTTCCTCTGCTAGAAGAACCCATGGAAAAAACACTTCTTTCTGGTGCTGGAATTCTGTATCTTAAGTGTAACAAGATACAATCTCAGAACTACCAGGCCTATCACTTTCATAGAGGATTATGTAAATAAAAACGGCCTTCAAAGGCACTGAAGGCTGAGAGAGAGAGGAGAAGTTAAAAAGCCATTATCTGTGAAAATTGAGACCCCTAGAGTTGGGCAGTACAGTTCCCCACATCTCAGAGAGAAGAAATACCTAGTAGTGCAAAAGTGAGTTTTCATTCTTAATGGAGATAACTATGAAGTTAGACCTAAGACTTCTAAGTCAGCTAAAATTATCTGAGTCTCCTACAAACGCATTCTCTTGTATTTGCATCTCCCAGGCCTTGACACCAAACTCTATGCCTCTGTGCCCAATGTCATTCCACACCCTGAATCTGTAAAACTAATATAAACTAAGAAACCTAATAAATAATACAGGCTATTAGATGTAAGCAATATAAATTAATAGTTTTACAAAAAATGGGAAAGCTTATGCATTGCTGTGGCAGGACATAACATCTAAGAATTATCTGCCAAAGACAAATAAACCTACAACTAAGGAGATCAGCATTTAATAAATGCTCCTGAACAATGAGGTCTATACACAGATCACTGCATCACAGGAGGAGCAAACAGCTCTACATAGGAAAGAGAAGTGACATGTGATGTCATGTCTATCTTATTTGTCAACCATCACTAGTAAAAACAAAGAAGGTGGTCCAACAAAATTTGACAATAGGAACACACTTTGATAGGAGACACCTTATTGTAAACAGTAATTTAAATGGCAGGGAACTCTTAAGATGGGGATTAAGGATATGAAGGTCACTGCTGGGTATTTTGGGTAGTAAGCATATATTTAGGGAAGATAGTTTTAATCCAAATTTGCTTCCCGAGCTATCAAATCCAGGGCATGTAAAAGGAAATCAAATTGTAAGTTGTCTATATTATCACTGATTAATACCATTACCACTACAACTAACTAAACATTAATGCCAGTTACACAGAAACAAGACTGTTTAGAAACAGCAAACAGGGACTTCCATGGCGGCGCAGTGGTTAAGAATCTGCCTGCTAATGCAGGGGACATGGGTTCGAGCTCTGGTCCAGGAAGATCCCACGTGCTGTGGAGCAACTAAGCCCGTGAGCCACAACTACTGAGCCTGCGCTCTAGAGCCCGCGAGCCACACTACTGAGCCCATGCGCTGCAACTACTGAAGCCCGCACGCCTAGAGCCCGTGCTCTGCAACAAGAGAAGCCACCGCAATGAGAAGCCCGCGCAGCACAACGAAGAGTAGCCCCCGCTCACCGCAACTAGAGAAAGCCAGCGCGCAGCAACGAAGACCCAACACAGCCAAAAATTAATTATTAATTAAAAAAAAAGGAAAGATCAAACATACTTTTCTGTGAGAAATTAATTAACAATTGCTAAATGAACATGACAGTGTGTAGGAAGAAGTTTATTTTATTCACTGATTTTCTAATAATTGATAATTCCAAAATGTGTCCAACAACTTCTAGGTTTGAACATTTTAATAAAGACGTTTCATTTATTGGCATGGTAGGACTTTTCTTTCATGCTTTTAAACAGTAAAGTCAAAAGAAAAACTCCATGATAATCTGATTAAGAGAAAAATTTTCCAGTTCCTTATGTAACTCACATTTTCCTGAGTAAGATTACTGGTTGCTCTAAGGCCCTCATCATGGATATGATTTTGCAGCTCCTGAATCATATGAGGTAAACCAGTGGACACAGCACGGAGTAAGACATACATATTTGCCATGTCTGAGGGGAAAAAGAAATTTATTATTAAATTTCCAAATAGTTTAAAAATGTTTTTAATATAATAGGTAATATATGGTTCCAAATGCAGAATTACAGAAGAGTATGCAGAGCCAGATCCCCACACCTTTCTCCCAATCACCCCATCCTCCTCCCCTGGGAAAGCAACGTTGTGGTTGTTTAGTATCTTCTCAAAGCTGTTTCCTACCCATTCAAGCAAATACGCTATTCTTCCCTCTGCCCCTTTTTATACAAATAGGGTAGCGTATTTATATTTTATACAAATAGGGTAGCGTACTATAAACAACACTTTAACTTAGAGATCTTTTTACATCAGTACACAAAGCATTTCCTCATATTTTACAACTGCTTAGCACTCCACTTTATGGCTACATTACAACAATTCCTTAACAATTGATGGGAATTTGGTTGTTTCCAATCTCTTGATATTGCAATGTTACAATTAATAATCCTGCATATGGGCAAGAATATCTGCAGTATAAATCCCTGGAAGTGGGACTGCCATGCAAAGCTTAGTCTTGCAGAAGGACCTTCTAGACAGAGCTCCCAGTGGCCAGGAGCTCCCTTGCCAACAAATGTTGTGATCTTTGCACTGAGAGGTGGAAAATGATATCTCAGTGTAGTGGGTTTTATTTTAAACTTTTTACTGAAGTATAACACACACACAGAAAAATGTACAAACCATAAGTGTGTATCTCAATGAATTATCACGAGTGAACCCCCCTCCCAAAGTTATCACCACCCACAGTAAGAAAGAGACATGACCTCCACTCAGAAGTCCCCTTCATACCTCTTTCCAATCACTACCCCTCCTGTTCTTCTGCAACGGTAATCACTGTCGTGACAGATTAGTTACTTACTAAACTAAACCAAACCACAGGTTCAGTTTGCCTCTTTTGAACCATTTATACAAATGAAATCATACAATTCTTTCATGCTTGGTTTCTTTGGTTCAACATGTTCATAAGGTTCACCTGTGTTGTATGAAGCTATAATGTGTTCCTTTTCACTCTCCTATAATATTTTATTGTGTGAATATGCAGTACTTTAATTCATTCTGCTGTTACTGGACATTTGAGCTGTTTCCAGTTTGGAGCTATTACAATGTTGCTGTGAGCATGCTTGTGCATGTCCTTTTGTGTATGTGTGCATGCATTTTGGGTGGGGGGTTGAACACCTATGAGAGCAACAGCTGGACCGCAAGAGATGTGTTTGCTCAGCATTAGCAGTCGCTCACTGGCAGTGTCTCAAGGTGGTTGCATTGATTTATACTCTAGGTCCAACATATAACAAGTTCCTGTTACTCTATACACTTCCACACACTTATTATTTTCAGTCTTTTTCATTTTATATCAAAATGTGACTAAGTACTGATACCTTAGTTTGGTTTTAATTTGCATTCCTCTGTTTTAGTGAGATTGAGAGCCTTTTTATATGTTTATTGGCCATTTGGATAACCTCTATTCTGCAGTGCCTGTTCAAACTTCTTGACTATTTTATATTTTGGACATAAACCTTTTTCAGGGATTGCAAATATATAACCGTATGACAGCCTTTTTTTTTTCTTTTTGAGTTATAACTGACATATGTTAGTTTCAGGTTTATAACATAATGATATTGGTATACACTGCAGACTGATCACCACAATCTGTCGAGTTAACATCTGTCACCGTACATATTTACAACTTTTTTCTTGTGATGAGAACTTTTTTATTTTATTTTTTTATTAATTTTTATTGGAGTATGGTTGCTTTACAATGTTGTGTTAGCCTCCACTGCACAAGAAATGAATCAGCCATACACATACAGATATCTCCCCGCTTTGGGACTTCCCTCCCATTTAGGTTACCAGAGTACATTAGGTAGAGTTCCCTGTGCTATGCAGTAGGTTCTCATTAGTTGTCTATTTTATACATAGTATCAATAATGTATATGTGTCAATCCCAGTCTCCCAATTCCTCCCACCACACCCCTTTCTCCCTTGGTATCCATACCTCTGTGTCTCTATTTCTGCTTTGTAAATAAAATCATCTATACCATTTTTCTAGATTACACACATAAGCGTCATTATACGATATCTGCGAGAACTTTTAAAATCTACTCTCTTAGCAACTTTCAAATATGCAACATGGTATTATTACCTATAGTCATCATGCTATACATTATTACATCCCCATGACTTATTTTTTTAATAACTGGAAGTTATTAAACCTTTTGACTCCCTTCAGCCATCCCCACTGACTCTGGCAACCACCAAGCTCTTCTCTGTATCCATGAGTTCATGTGTTTTGTTTTTTAGATTCCATGTATAAGTGAGATCACACGATATTTGTCTTTCTCTGTCTGACTTATTTCACTTAGCACAATGCCCTCGAGGTCGATCCATGTTGTTGCAAAATAGTAGATTTCATTTTTTTTTTTTTAATGGCTGACTGATATTTCTGTGTGTGTGTGTGTGTGTGTGTGTGTTTATTTTCAGCCATTCACCTATCAATGGACACTTAGGTTGTTTCCTTATTTTGGTTATTGTAAATAATGCTGCAATGAACATATATGAACAGGGTTCATATATTTTTTGGGGTGTTTTTGTTTTCTTTGGATAAATGCCCAGAAGTAGAATTGCTAGATCACATCATAGTTTTATTTTTCATTTTTATCCCACAACTGTACACGATGGTTCCCTTTTCTTCACATCCTCGCCAACATTTGTTATTTCTAGCCTTTTTGATAACAGTCATGCTAACAGGTGTGAGGTGATATCTTACTGGGGTTTGGAGTTGCATTTCCCTGATGATTAATAATGTTGAGCACCTTTTCATGTACCTGCTGGCCATCTGTAAGTCTTCTTTAGAAAAATGTCTGTTCAGATCTTTTCTTTTCTTTTCTTTTTTGTGGTACGTGGGCCTCTCACTGTTGTGGCCTCTCCTGTTGCGGAGCACAGGCTCCGGACGCGCCGGCTCAGCAGCCATGGCTCACAGGCCTAACCGCTCTACGGCATGTGGGATCTTCCCAGACCGGGGCACGAACCCGTGTCCCCTGCATCGGCAGAGGACTCTCAACCACTGTGCCACCAGGGAAGCCCTGATCTTCTCATTTTTTAATCAGTCTTTTTGCTATTGAGTTGTATGAGTCTTTTATATATTTTGGATATTAATCCCTTATCAGATAAGTGATTTGCAAATATTTTCTCCCATTCAGTAGGTCACCTTTTCATTTTGCTGATGGTTTCCTTTGCTGTGCAGAAGCTTTTTAGTTTGATGGAGTCCCACTTGTTTATTTTTGCTTTTGTTGCCTTTGCTTTTGGTGTCAGATTCAAAAAATCATCACCAAGACGGATGTCAAGGAGCTTAACGCCTTTGTTTTTTTCTAGGAGTTTTATGGCTTCAGGTCTTAGGTTCAAGTGTTAATTCATTTTGAGTTAATTTTTATGTAGGATATAAGACAGTGGTTCAGTTTCATTCTTTTGCATGTTTTTCAAAAACATTTATTAAAGGGATTGTCCTTTTCCCATTGTGTATTCTTGGCTCCTTTGTCCTATGACTGTCATTGTGATGCTATTTTGATGATCCAATGGTCTTAATGGTTTTTTAATGATCCAAAGTTTTTAATGATAAAGTAGTCAACTTGATCAATCTTTCCTTGTGGTTAGTGCTTTCTGTGTCTTATTTAAAATATTTTTCTCTACCTCCAAGGTCATGAAGTTATTCTCCTATATTATCTTCTGGAAGTGTTACTGCTTTACATTGAGATCAAAAGCCCAAAATGAATTGATCGATTTTGTATATGGTGTTTGAGGTAGAGATCAAATTTTGCTTTTTTCCCACATGGATATCCAAAAGACCTGGCGCTGTGCGTTCAAAACACTATCCTTCACCCACTGCTCTGCAGGGCTGCCTTAGTCTTAAATGAAGTATCTACATATGTATGGGTTATTTCTTGGCTTTTTATTTTATTCCATTCGTCTCTTTGCCTATCCTTGCACCAACGCCTCATATTCCTAATTACTGTGGTTTTTACAAGTCATGCTATCCCGCAGTTTTCGCATCATGCTCTTCAAAATTGTCTTGAAGAGTAAGTATAACTTTCAGAGTTTCAGAGTGTAAAAAAAGAATCTTGGGTTTTGAGAAGATTGCCCTGGATCTATAAATCAATGTTGCTTTCATGAATGTTTAGTTTTCTGTGTAGGTCTGACACGTATCTTGTTACATTTATTCCCTGCTATTTAAAAATCCTTATTGCTTTTTTCTTAAAAATTCCATTTTATTCACTGCTTATTGTTAACATTTCGTTGTATTTTCATTTTGTATTTCCCCTATTTTGAGTGAGACTGAGCATCTTCACATATTTAAAATCTATTTATATTTCATTTTCATGTTCTTTGTCTTTTCTCCTCTTATTTACTAGAAACTCTTAATATATTCAGGAAATTAGCCCCTGTGATTTTTAAAAATGTGTAAACATATTTTCCCAGTTTTTCTTTTGACTTTAGAATACAGTTTGAAAATATACTTTTCCAAAACAATCTTTTAAAATAGATTACGTAAAAAGGCATATCGAATATTTTAGAGACTATTACTTAAATATGTTGGAAGTCTAAGGTAGCTGGAAGATGATGTAAAAAGTGGGTTTATAATTTAATTTCTATTCACATTGATGTTTGGTATCACTTACCATTTTTTTTCTCTTGTCGGATGATATTATGACATTCTGCATGTAAGAACTGTAAGTGGTCTGCTACCATTCGTTGCTGACATTCATGAATTACTTTAGTATATGAACTTGGATGTAAGTATTTTCGACATCGAATTTCTTCATCTTTTAATCTACCTAGAACCTTTAGAAATATATTCTTACAGTCAGAAACTACTATGAGAAAACACCTGTAATATCAATAAGTAACTTACATGGCAAAGTAACTTACAAATAAGAATTATATAACTAATTTAAACTCACATTCCATAAGTCATTTCAAAATTTTATTAAGCTGCTAGATGTCACCTACATTTCAGCACTGTCTTATGAACAGCACGGTCTTATGAAAAGTTAAATGGTCTGCATTTTGCCCTCATTTATTGACCCCAATCATCCTACATACAGACAACCTATATGCAATAGGAAACATGGGTAAGATCCTTACAAACCAGAATAGGTGGTCACTTTATGAATATTTAACTATCAAACTAGAAAGTAATTTACATCAACTGGATCATGTAGATTAAGCTAATTACTTTATGTTGATTCATCTTACAAAACAAACAGTATGTACATGATAGTGAACTATCACATTAAATATTCCACTAAATTTTTTTAAAGTAAAAAAAATTTAGTCATAGTCAAATATTTCAATCAAGATCTTTATTAAAGCTTATCCTATTAAAAAACCACTGAGGTACAAACAATACACTGGTTAACATCAACAAGAACCAGATAATAAAGATAATAGCCAGAGAATCTGGCTAATTTCTACCTCAAAAGAAAAACAGACCTAGCCATGTTTAGTATACAAACATGACTTTAACCTGCTTATGGATTAACTAAATAAAAAAGGAATTAGAATGTGGGTCTGAGGGAGGCAAGGGAGGATGAGAAAAGGAAAAAAATAAAATAATGAAAATGGGGGGCAGTGTGCATATCAATAAAAAGTAGATTAAGTTTGGAGTGCCTCAATGCAGGGCTTCAAATAAACCACCTGTAGCTGGCAGAAAAAGCCAAAGCTAGAGGAAAGATACAGAAAGGGAAGTAGGAAGGCCATATGAATTGTCTGTTAATTAAATGACCTATTCTTATAAATGTTATTTTCCAAATATAATCTCCAATGGCCTTCCTTTTAATAGTTTGAGATCTAGTTTACATATAATATGATTCACCCATTTAAAGTATACAATTCAGTGGTTTTTGGTATATTACATTATTAGTTTTTTTAAATTGTGGTAAAATATATGTAACATAAAATTTGTCATTTTAACCATTTTTAAGTGTACAATTCAGTAGCATTAATTATATTCACAATGTTGTGCAACTGTCTATTTCCAAAACTTTTTCATTACACCAAACAGAAACTGTGTAACCACTAAGCTATAACTCCCTATCCTCCCCTCCCAATAACTTCTAATCTATAATACTTTTTGTATTATTTTGTGTATTCTGGATATTTTATATAAGTGGAACCATACGATGTTTGTCCTTTTGTGTCTGGCTTATTTCACTCAACATAATATTCTCAAAGTTAATCCATGTTGTAGCATGTGTCAGAACTTTATTCCTTTTTAAGGCTGAATGATATTCCATTGTATGTATACACATTTTGCCTGTCTTTTCAACTCCTGAAAGGCATTTGGGTTGTTTCCATTGTTTGCCAATAGCCTGTTTTTGAGAACCAGATATAACAAGGAGAGTATGTATCCCTGATATTCTGTGTGTACTTCTCAGGATTGGATCTAGAACCTTTAACAAGAGTCTAAGATGTAAAAAGGGCTAAGTGCTAAGACCCACTGACTTAGTGTAGCCTGCACTTAACGGAGGAAAATGTCCTAGATAACTTCCTCAAGGTCCCAGAGCTAAAGAGTGACAAAGCATGAAAAGAATTAAACAACTCAGACTTCTGGACCTGGGCTTTGTGGAATATTCACCATTGTATCATATCAGTAAGTACTGATATTTCCTGACCTATGGCCTATGGAAGCCTCACTACAGCTATTCCACTTGAAACATTTTACCTTTTCTTAAAAAAATATATATTTATTTACATATTTATTTGGTTGCACTGGTTCGTAGTCGCGGCAGGCGGGCTCCTTAGTTGCAGCATGTGAACTCTTAGTTGTGGCATGCATGTGGGATCTAGTTCCCCACCCAGGGATCGAACCCAGGCCCCCTACATTGGGAGTGTGGAGTCTTAACCACTGCGCCACCAGGGAAGTCCCCATTTTACCTTTCTTAAAGGTAAACAAACTAACAAAAATCATCTGATAATAAAATGCTTGAAATCCAACACTGCTGATGAAACAATCTAGTTAAAATTTCTAACATATCTTATCTGATGACTGAATTTATAATCTCACTATTCTTTTACTGAGAAAATATACATGGAATTATAAATATGGTTATCAATGTGTTGGTTTAATGATTAAAATTTCTCGTGGAGGTTTTTCTCAGCCTTCCACAAACTTAACAGACCAAAAAGACCAAGTATCTAGAATTATTATATTTTTACTATTTTTTTCCTTCCATTTTAGAGGAAGATAAAAACCCCAACCCTTAGCTTTTGTACTTACCCTATTCCCTTATCTACTAAGCACAAAATATAGTTTATTTTGCCAAGAATATGAATATATATTAATTTTAAAGACAAGCAAATCTAGCAATCAGGATTTTATCAGAAAGCATCAACCACAATGAAAACTGGAATAGCACCTTTTCTATGGAAAATGCCATAGCAGGAACAATGATTTATCAATAGGTGTTGTACATTAACTATAACTCAGTGTAATGATCAAAAAAAAAGAACTTTTTCCACCAAAAAAATATATTAACTAAGATAACTAATATTAAATAAAACCATGCCTGATATATAATAGATGATGTAGTTAACATAATGTTTTCTTACCTTTTCCATATACTGTGAGCAATTTGATTCTTGTAATAAATTTGAAGCTTCTTGTTTGTAATACTCTCCTGTTTCAGTCAGGAAGGGAGACTCAAAGATTTCCTGATAAAACTAAATAAATCAATTAAATCATATTTAAAAAATTAGAACAGGCAACTTAAGAAATTAAAGGTCTAATTATTTATGTTTTTAAAGGAGGCTTTTTACCTTTAAGGGGAATTTTTTCTTATACTGTTCAACATGAACAAAGGAGTTAATAACCCCATGGATTACTTTCTGGTTTGGGTCTTCTCCACCACGATCACTAAAACAAGGTATAACACAAAACATTCTTGAGAATACAAATATCTATGGGAATATACCAAAGTATGCCACAATACGGCTGCTTATTCTATTGGTCTAATCACATTATGTATAAAGCATTTTAAAGGTCAATGCACACGATGCTTAAAAATGATTTTTCATATTGCAGCTGAATTAGTATTTATGATAGTTTATGTACATATTAGATTTCAATAAACAACAGAAAAGCTTAACTGTAAAATTAAAGATACTATGTTGACACTAAGATGATACTTCTTCAATTTTAATAAAGTAGCTATGAGCCTATCAATTCAAGACTTTAAATACCAGTGGTTAAGAATATTTGAATTTCACTCACCACAAACTCTATTACTAAGAGGATGTGGTCTGAGAATGCAGTCTTTGAACCATCACAAGTATGCCTACAGTAACCTGATGAGACTCATTCCTCAAAGGTACACTCTAATACAATATATCGCTCATTAAAATGACTAATAACTGTTGTTCTCTCTCTAAGAGGTCTGCCAGAGCCACTGAGTTGCTTTCATTTAAGCACAAAGGTATTTCTCTACTTAGAAATTTAGGGAGATATGTTGTAATATTTCTATATTCTGTTACAGTTACAAAGGGATCTAAAATCATCTCAGTTATTCATGTGACATTTTGGTAAGTTCCTACTTAGTCAAGGGTACTACTGTGATGCAAGTCTTAATCACAATAAGAAATGAAGGTGAAGTTTGGCTTTTATAATTACAGAAATAGGAAAATGAAATAGGAAAAAAATAAGAGTGGACCTAAAGCCACAGTAAAACGGTCTGGCTCTGTGTTGGAAGTTTCTGACTCCAGTAATAATGCTCAAATCAAACCATTATACAGTCAAAGGTTTACCTTTCCATGGTAATCTTCCACCTCACTTTAAAATATTTTTTTCTTTGAATTAATAATTATTTTACAAAGAAAGCAACAGAAAAATATATTATCATCATTTCCTAGTAAAATCTTCTGGTTTTCGTACTGGGATATAAAGATTTTCTAACATTTAAGGAAAGTATTGTGGCAATTACCTTTATATATCAGTGTCCCTCCCTGCCTCTGCCTCCCTCTAATCCTCATTCTGTCTCCCATTAATTATCTGGATATTCTGGGAAAAGTTTGTTGTGCTTGAATTAATATGGCTACAGTCCTTCTGACAGTCACAGAAATGTAGTTACAAAGTCTACATTTTGATATAAGAACTAATAAGAACGATGAGTTCATACAAGGTGACACATGGTGAGCTCCTTTCCTCTGCTGACCTTCCCTCTTAAGCCCAAATTAAATCTGCTGAAATAATGATATAACCTATTCCATTGATTTGGAGCGCATTACTTTTTGCCTTTTAACTTTGTCTGGGACCAAATGAAAATCAGTCAAAAGTGAGAAATATCTAAATATTTGGAAAATCAGGTTACCTAAAATTATTTTCATGACCAAATCCTACTGTCCCTGCTCAGCACCAGGAAAACGTCCACTGCTGCTATTCTCAGCACTCCTGCCATTTGTTTCTGACCCCAAAAGGCCCAGAGAAGCGGGAATCAGGTAAGGCAGTGCCTAGAAAGAACATCGACATTCCTACTGCTTAATAACTAAATTGTCCTCTCCTGTAAGAAGAACATCTGAACTCAGAAACTCTTAGGCATAATTATTCAATTCACCATACACTTTGATAACTGCACAAAAGGTACAATAGAAAATCATTGTAATTTATTTCTATTAGGCTGACAGATAATGAAAATAAACTGAAATGATGCTAAGTTAGTACTATATAAAAGCAATGACTAAGCTGGTTATCTGAATAAGCTCTGGTCTCATCTAAGAACAGTGATCCCAAGAGACGAGGCTTGAGAAAAGAATATGAAGAATTTTTAGAGTATGGCTCATTATTTGATCTTGACAGAACTAAGTGGAAAATGCCTACAACAACCATAATGAAATCACTCAGCTGGGAGGATGGGAACTAATAGGAATAGTTTATTGTAGCCCCTAAGACCAGGGTTTTGGAGTCAGACTACCTAGGTTCAAGTTCTGGCTGCATTAATATGTCACCTTGTGCAGGTGCTTATTAACCTTTAGTACTCAGAGATGTCCCCTTCTGTAAAGTGGGGGTAAGAAATGTATGTACTCTCACGAGGATATGGTAAAGATTATGCATAATCCAAGAAAGTACGTAGCACAGTGCCTGGTACATGAGTAAACCATCAATAAGCTAGTATTTTAAGTACAGATAGGCGCAAAATGGAAGCATTTTCAATAAATTAGAGAGGAGAAGAAAGCTAAGAGACCAAAAAAAGCACTAACTGTGATTTTAAAACCAAGGCATTTTAGAGAGCAGACCAGGTTTGCGATGGTCATTAAAAGTTAGGCTGGAACTCTCAAAAGTCCTGATTCTGATATGTGACAATGGGTAAATTAATCTCTTGGTGAAACTCCCATTCACCCCCTATGATTAAAATGAGAATATGGTTCCAACAAATTAAATGCAGCCTCCTGCTCTCACTCCAAATCTGAGAAGTGACAGGAAGGATACTTTTTAACACTCCATTGTTGGCTGTAGCCCTTGGACCTGTAGAAATTGAAAAAAAGAGAATGAAGACTAGATAGCACAGAAAAACAAAGTACAGACCAAAATGCACAAGAGAAAGAACTGCTAAAGGGAGGGGGTGGAAGATAGTGAAGGAGGACAGGCAAGAAGTGGTGTTACTGAAAGCGGGCTGGCACAAAACCAGCAAGGTCATCAGCAGACTAGCTGCTCTGCGTGTCCCTGCAGGAGCAGTGAGTGTGGTACCACGAGGAAGGGAAGTGCCTGCGCCCAGACTGCCCCCAGACTGTGCCCAGACTGCCCC